TACTGTGCTTCTTCTTTCAACATTTTTGATGCAAATAAAAGACATACAGAAGTGAGAACAATTCAGGAGATGATAAAAATATTCCATGAAAATCTAAGGAATTAGGAAACGCTATTGAACTGCCTGATGAGTTAATAATTATGATAGCCACGATCTGTTGAATATTTAGTATGTATCAGCCACTGTGATGCACACATAGATTATGTCATTTGAGATAAAAGTTACAATTATTGTCACAACTTTATAAATGAGGAAACCTGAGTTTAAGAATATTAAATTATTTACCCAAGGTCATGCAGTTGTTGGATGGAGGGGAGGCAGGGTTTGTTGCTGGGCAGCCTGACTCAGGACAGGTCATTCTTATCCACCAACTCTGTGTCATCAACTAGAAATAACGAGGAGGTGGGGCTCTCTAGTTCTTTGATGATTAACTTTTCATTGTGCAATAATTCCGATTTCTTAAGGTCTTAGCGTTCTAGGATTCCTAGCAGAAATTCCAGGCTCTTGGGCAATATGTGAATTGACGTGAGCAGCCACCGTTTTACGGGGATAACTTTCTATTGATGTCATGAGACCAACTGGGCTTGGAAATTCCCATTTCTCCCTTACATACCTTTAAGTTATCCCGATCAGATTTCATGAACCCTCCTGGTTTGGGGGCAGGAGGAGAGAATCTCCACCACCGTTTGGAATTTTGGAAACTGGCACCTCCCCCTCCCACTGAAAGGAGCACATCCACAGGTTTCTTTTTGTCCCTCCTAGAACCTTCCAACAGACAGGCTAAAAACACATACTGCTGACTTTCCAATTTTCCTAGGGCCAGGCCTGAGAAATGAGGGCATTCCACAGCAGGGAGTCGTCGGGAATGAAGTCATGGCAGTGGCCCGTTCTCAAGCATGAGGACACCTTGAGTAAGGAGAATGTGCTGGTTATTTCAGTGATCCATCGAGCAAAGCAAACTTTCCCAAAACCTAGTGGCCTCAATTCAGCTTGCCACCTGCTTTCAAAAAATAAGTTTTATTGAAAGACAGCCACGCTCGTTTGTTCGCCTGTCATCTGACTGCTTCAATGGCAGAGTAACTGCAACAGAAACTGCATGACCGAAAGCCTAAAACATGTATGCACCGTCTGGACCTTCATGGAGAGCTCGCAGACCTCTGGCCTAAACAAGGGTGTGTTATATCTCACAATTCTGCGGTTTGGCTGAGCTGTTGGGCTGGCTTCTGCTGGACTCACTCAGTCAACTGCACTGGGCTATAGGGTGAGGGGGGCACTCAGCTGAGACACTGGGACAACGGAGCCTCTCCCTCCCTGGGGTCTTCTTTCCTCCTTAAAGATGCTAAACTGGATCTCCCCCCCCCCATGGTGGTGGTAGCTTTATAAGAGGACAAGCCCCAAGGCACGAATACTTGTCCCGCTGCCAATTGCATTAGGCTTGTTGCTGTGTCATTGGCCAAAGCAAGTCACATGAGCAAGCCTACGAAGGTCCACTGGACGTCATTACACAGGGCGCAAATAAGAAGGAAAGTCTGATTTATTGGGAGCCACCAAGGTAACTAAGTAGCACATGGGCATTCAATATTTTTTGTTGAATAAATAAATGGAATAGGCCTGACTACATAATAGGGTTTATTTGTCCCAGTCATGGTGTTAGGCTTTCCTTGCTGTGACAAAATACTTGAGAGAAATCAACACAAAGAAGGAAAGGTTTATCTTTGGCTCATGGTTTTGGAGGTTTCAGTCCATGATCAGGTGAATCCATTTTAGGCCTGTAGGGATGCAGAACCTCATCAAGGGCACACCTGGTGAAGCAAAGCTGCTCCTATCATGACATCCAAGAAGCAGAGAGAGAAAGAGAGAGATGCTTTTATTACAAAAAATCTTACCCCAACCCCATCAAGCTGTGAATTCATAAATGGGTTAATACATGATCCAATGATCCAATCACCTCTCAATGGCCCCACCTGTGAACAACACTACATGGGGACCTAACCTTCAAAACCTGATCTTTGGGGCAGGGACATTTTGGACCCAAGCCATAGGACTCATAGCCAAATATTTCACAAACCCCTACCGCATGCCAGGCTGATGTGATTGATTACAGGTACTCAATAATTTGTTAGTCAAGTGATCTAGGGTCCACAAGAGCTAAAGTTGTATTGATGATCTTACTGTGAAAATTATAAGCATTTTCATGCATGCTAATAATAGCCAGTTCAATGCAGTAGAAATGCACCCCACAAAGGAGTCCAAAACGATTATGCTTTTACTATGTCTAGTTCTACATTTGCTACCTTGAGGTATATTCTGGGCAGGGTTGATTTGAGTCTTACCTCAGTCCTCAAGCTCTTGGTAGATGTCTAGTTTCCATTATGGTAGCACCACCTCCAGCAGGAAGAATCCTGGATTGGAACACCAGAGTCCCACATTCTCATCCTGGCTGCATAAGGTCCTCATTTTGTATCTGTGGAATAAAGTCAAGATCATGTTTTCATGAGACATTCACACCTCTTGCCAATATCCTATCTTCTTCTACTTTAGGAGAACCAGGAAGGTATGACATTAGGTATGGTCATGTGTATAAATCAGTTTTCTGTTACTATAACAAATATCTGAGATAATCAATTTATAAAGATGAAAGGTTTGTTTTTGCTCACAGTTGTGAAGGTTTTAGTCCATGATTGGTTGGCCCCATTGCTTTGAGCCTGTGGTAGCACATTATGGCAGGAGCTCAAGGTAGAGCTACGCCACTCACCTTCGGGGCAGGAAGTGAAAAAGAGAAAGAAGTGGGTATGGTCCCACAGTCCTCCTCAAGGACATGCTCCCCAGTGATCAAAAGACATCCCACTAGGTTCCGCCTCTCAAAGGTTCCCCCCATAGCACTACAGGCTTGGGACTGAGTCTTTAACATACGGGCCTTTGGGAGACACTCCAGATCCAAACCATAATACCCTGTGACTTCCTCAGGCCGATGAAATACTAGAGGAAGTGGCTGTCTCTGGGTGGAAGTATTAAATGGCCAGGGCTCAACTCTACCTCACTGATACCAGATGCAGTGGTCAAGAGTTGACAGCACATAGATGAAGAGCACGATACCGAGCCGCTGTGTGGGGGATGGCTGTCTCAAATGCCACTCAACCCCACAGGAGACTTCATATAGGCAAGAAATAAGCCTTTCTTGTTTTAACCCAGCCTAACCAAGCCAGTTTGATGCTCAAACTACAAAAAAAAAAAAAAACAACATCAATGTATCAGATGAGGGAAAAAAATTGTTTTGTGGGAGGAAAAGGAAAGGAGATCAACAAGACACTGGATCTCTGCATGTTGACATGACCCCTCCTTGTGATCTCTTGGAGTCTTCAGGAAGGTGGTCATTAAACATCTGTGGATGCTTAGTAAGAAAGGAACTGTCTTATCATTTATTAATATGCTCTTGGTTTTGTTGTTGTTGTTGTTCCTTTGCTTGTTTTCTTGCATTTTTTTTCCATTTTGGGGGGTAGAAGCCAGTGAAGGGGCAGAGCTTCAAGACACAGGTTAACACAGACAGAAATAGAGACATCTCAGGCCACCACTCCCAGGAGGAGGCAGAGGAGGCCATAAGTAAAAATGCAAGTCCTTGGAATTCATAGAACTCACCTGCACTGTGACTCTCACCACCACCAGCAGCTGACACCAAGCGTTTACCAAGGGCAGTGACTGAAGTCAGTGTTTTCCATCACAACTCCACGTGCTCCTCTTAGTACCACCTTTAAATCAGACACTGTGTTATCCTCATTTTCCAGATAAGACAACTGAGGCATTCAGGAATCAAATGTCTCAGGTTCATAAACAGCCCCTCTTTCTGAAGCACTCTCTAAATGACTGATTCTCTCTTTGTCACTTAGATCCTAACACAAATATTTTGTTTTCAGAAAGATCTTCTCCAAGCTCTGTGTCCACATCTATCATTCTCAATTACAGCTCCTTTTACGATCCATGGCAATTTCTTTTTAATTTATGGATTGTTTTCTTTTCTGAAGCTCCAGAACCACAGGAGTAATGTTTGCCTTGTCAACTGTTTTATCCCTGTTCTGGTTTAGATATGGGGTATCCCCCAAAAGCTCATGTAGGAGACAATGCAAGGTTTAGAGGTGAAATGATTGGGTTCTGAGAGCCTTAGCCTAATCAGTGCACTAATCCCCTGGTAGAAATTAAGCGGGTGGTAACTGTAGGCAGGTAGGGTATACAGGAGGAGGGGGGTCATTGCTGGGGGCATACCTTTAGGGTATATGTCTTGTCCATGGAGAGTGGAGCTGGCTTTCTCTGCTGTTCTTGTCAGATATTTTGGTCACAGTGGGGGAAAATAAACACGGCTGACTAAATCCCCCTCCCCACGCAGTTCCTATAGCAGCTGTGACTGTGTGGGCATGACTTGGAGAATCCAGCAGAGATAACAGTGCTTGGATCAGTTAGGAGGGACATCAGAATGCTTTCAACTGCAAATAACAAACTCCCTGATTAAAATGGTATTTGATAAGAATGATATTTTTCCCTTGTCATATAACAAAAGTTCCAGTCCGGACAGTTCTAGGACTTGTTTGCCAAAGTCAGTCAGCTTCTCAGTGATAGTCTTGGTCTTCTCTCCATGGTCAAAATATGGTTCCTACAGCTCCACCTATTGTATCTCTACCCAACCATATTCAAAGGTTGGGAGAAAGAGAAAGTTACCTTTTCCATAGGATTGAAATTTTCACAGTGTTCTCTGGATTCCCTTCCGGACCCATTGGCCAAAGTGGATCACACATGAGCCCATGCCTTGGCAAGGCAGACTGGGAAAATCTAGAGCTGGTACATGCAGTAAGAGGTAAGCTCTGCCACACAGGAAGGTGGCCACCGAATGCAGCCAACAATACTGACCACAGGAGACTCCTGGGAAAGAGACAGCAATCTCTGTATGTCCTCTAGAAAGAATAAGCAGATCTGTCTGGAGTAGCTGCCCCAAAATATTGACTTTGTGTATAAATCAACATTGGGGAGAAAAGAATCCTTTACTTCAAATAAGAAAATTCTTCTTAAAATAACCCTCTGACAGGACTGGAGAGTGGTAAAATCTTTCTGAAGAATAATTTGGCAGCATGACTCAAAAACCTGGGAAAATAAGTCTCTCTTCTAAGCAATTCCACATATAGCAATCTATCACCAAAAAATAATCAGACACGTAATCCAAGATGTCCATCAGGCACTGTTCATAGAGTGAAGTACAGGGAACAGCCTAAATGCCTGATAGTATTTGAATGATCAAATAAGTTATAATATTGTGGGATGACAATGAAGCTCTTTAAAAAATCATATTTAAAGAGCTAGCTTTTAGCCAGGTGTGGTGGCTCACACCTATAATCTCAACAGCTCAAGAGGCTGAGGCAGGAGGATTGCAAGTTCAACACTGGCCTCAGCAAGGTGGTGAAGTCCTAAGCAACTTAGCGAGACCCTGTCTCAAAATAAAAAATAAAAAGGACTGGAGGTGTGGCTCAGTGGTTGAGTGACCCTGGTACCTGGTACCAATCCCTGGTACCAAA